TAAAAATCACTGAGCTAACTCAGTGACACCAAATGTCAAAGCAGCGTTAGCTACCCTTTCCTTCTATGTCACTTTATCTCCACTGTATTTACCCCTCAAAACCATGTATGCACTAGATCAAATTAATAAGACCTGAGCTGAAAAAGCACTTAATACTTTTCACTGATTTTAGGAAAACAGCAATATCTACCTCTGGATTCATCCTCTGGAGAAAATATTCTGGTTAAACTCATCTTGCTGAAAGTCAAAACACTACTCATCTTCATGTGCTTTTCCCTCTGTAAGATCTCCAAACTTCTAGGTCCTATATTTGAGGTGTCTTTCTGTTTTCCTGTGAACGTCTATTTCCATTTAAAAAGTGAACATTTATCCTCTCTCCTGACACTCACCTTCTCTCCCTACCCTTCTAAGTCTCCAACAGAGTTTAAGCACACTTTACTGTACCCTTCAGATAGACTCCGTAATGCAGACTTTAACTTAGTAATGAAAGAAGCATTATCCTTTATGTTTCTCTACCTTTAGCAAAGAGGAAATATCCATTTCCTTTTGTCCAGTTATTGCACATCTGGCAAGCAGTTCGTAATGTGAACACAGAACTGAGAAAAGCAGGGAGGGGGCACATAGCCGTACTTAAAAGGTGACAGCAAGATGTTTTCCAAGGGACTCAGTACAGACTAAAAAGAGATTTTCCGTGCCAAACATAGCTTCTTAGCTTTAATCTACATAAGCCTTAGAGGATGTAAAAATTCATAGTCCTTACACAACTGTAAAACTTAGTTCCAGAGAGACACTGATGTTATAAGACCAAGCAGCACACAACCACCCTTTCAAGTAGTTTGTCCTTCACTTGCCAGACATAACGCCACTTCCCAAAGAAAAAGACACTGAAATCAGTGTCAAGTTTGTACAACAGGTTCTTTATTTACCATTTCTCATTACAAAATGAGAAAATATATCAACAGTGCTTTGTTGTCCAAGAGATCTTTTTTGACCACCTACCACATCTTTCACAACTTGTGTTCAAATGGGCCTTGCCCCCTGCCATCCCCCACAGTTACTGCAACTCATCAGAAGTCTCAACTCAGTAATGTCTTTCAATCTCTGTGCTTTTTTTTTTTTTTTAACTATAAAAACAGCTCTTGGTTTCTCACTTTGTTCCACAAGCCAGTTTTCTTGTTCTCTTCTCCATCTAAAATCTTATTTAAACTCAGCTAGCTCCCCTCTCTGTTTTCCACCTCGCCTCCGTTGCTCCATGGCAAAGCCTTTAAAGGATGCATGCACACAAGGCCAAGGAGATAGTTTTTCAGTACATTTTAGAAATAATCTTTCTTTTTTCCTGAAGTGAATTTTCGTAAGTTGCAGTTTTCATCTTAAAACAATGCTTTCAGCATCATGACAACAAGTTTTTCTCAGGGGTATGGAGGCATTTTCACGCTTTATATGTTTAGCTGCTGCTAACTTCCCCTCGTTCTATCTGTAAATAATTTTTTCATGAATAAAGACAAAAAGACAATTAAAAAAAAACCATGGAATTTTAGGGATATGACAAATACATACTGAAACTAGCATACCAACAGAAAGGTACCCGAGATAAACCCAATGATCTTTAGCAAAAGAAGAGTGAAGTTATTCTTCAGAGAAATGAGTCTACATAGCACATTATTCAATACTTCTAAAACTCCCACATTTTCAAAGGCTAAAACAGGATTTCTGTTGAGTAAAATGACTCATTTTACATAAAGTGTTATTTCAAAGTCACACTGAATTTAAGCCATATTTAAGTTAACCTGTACATTTCCAACACTCAATAATCTAGAATGCTATCTTCAAAAATATGACAGTGATGAACAAGATGATTAGGATTTACTACATTTCCAGCAAACATATGCAAAGGCAACAGGAAAAACTGTAGATATTTTTCCACTAACCTCTGAGATTTAATAATCATATCCTACAACTGTGGGGGCCTAGAACTTCTGGCATTCTGAGCACTTCTACATTCACATCTGTTTGGGGGGGGGGGAAACAGACACATTCCTCTAACTCCTTGGGTTCAATTGTCCACGCAAACAGCTAATTAGAATCTCTGTGTTTTACATCATTTACGGCCTAGAAGTAGCAGAATCTGTCTTCAGCCTATTGATGATTACACTTAAAGGTTCCTACCTAAACATCATAAGAAGCTGCTGTATATGCCAGAATGTGACACAAATAGGCCCTGCCTACAAGTAAGCAAAAAAATAAAAACAGTAATTCAAAGCATAAAGCAATTTAAAACCTTACAAAAAAAAAGGCTTCAGTATGGTGACAAGCATACATGAAGTAAACACAAAGGACAAACTGAAAGACTGTAGCTTTTCAGTAAAAAAAAACAAAAAAAAAACAAGATCCTCAAAGAATGCCAATGTAGGACTCCACCTTTTTAAGTATGGGCATGTAGTTACACACCTGTATTATCAGTGAATATTAAGATATTATAATTATGAAATAAACAAAAGAGTTAGGCAAAGCAGATTAGAACAAAAACAGAATAGATAAAAAGCTTACCCATATCTTGGGCTCTATAATGAAACTCCAGCAGAGGGGATCTCCAAAAGAGATCCTTCACCACTGGTAGCCAGCTCTTAAATGGGTCTAGGAGAATTAGAGCCAGGCTCCACCCCTTCCAGCAGCACAGGTGAATTGCCTTCACCTGTGCTCCCATGGCTGACTCATGGCTCGCCTCAGGTGATCAATCAGAGGTTCAGGCCACAATTCAGCTGTTCCCATACAACACCTAACTACAAACACAGGCATACATTTCAGATCTCTAAATGCTCTAGTCTAAGGAATTATAAATAATTTTAGTTGATTGATTACACGTAACTTTAAGCGATGTTAAAAGCAAAGCATATAACAGAAGAAACTTCCTCACTCCCTGAATACTAAAATGAAAAAAAGCTTTCATTAAAAAGCACTAAGAGGTATGTTTACTCCTTACTTTCCCAAATGATTTTAGTAGAAACCCCTACACCTTTTATAACTGATTAATGGAAAGGCTCTTTCCATCTATCGCTCTCTAACCAGTCTACAGGAGTTCAAAAACATCATAGTAACTTAAGTAACAACATTTACTCTCCTCATCTATCAAGCATAATTTTGGAGCAAAAAATTAAATGCTACCCCTAATTGGCATGCCCAATCTGTGACTGATCAGGCTAACACTTTTCCAAATGGTTGTGCTCCCTTAACCTGCTTTAGTCTCTGTATTTCTCCCTTCCCCTAAACAAAGCCATTTTATTGCCTCTTCTGATGAGAAAGAGTATATGAGCTTTTTTGATATTACCTGTGTTTCAAAAACTATAAAGATTACTGTTCTCATGAGGAAGTAAAAAAAAAAAATAAATAAATAAAAATTAAGCTCTGTTTCTCATCAAGAGCAAATTAATAGAGGAGGAAGTTAAAATCAGATCCAGGTACATAAAGAATTTTTCAGTTTATCTTCTTGTTAAAAAGCAACTCTTATGGAACACGTTTCCAAGTTCTTATAACTCATTATACCTTTAGGCTAGAAACTTTGACTCCAAGAGCTACAAATCACAGAATTCAACATATGAGACAAAGAAGCTGTATGACCTTCTCTATGAAAATCCTCATGTCAGAAGTTCTCCCTAGGAATATAATTCAATGACTGAATAGCTTTCTTACCTACACATGAAACAAAAAAAAAGATGTGGGAGGAGGTGGATACTAAAGGGTGATATAACCAACTGTTAAGAGCAGGTCTTGAAGGAGGTGACTAAGCATTAAAAATAAATAGTTACAATTTGTCTTCTCTAACGTAGAAGCAAAACAAGAAAAAAAAAGTTATTGTAAAGCACCACGATATGTTGGCATTTGAAGGTAAAATAAATTCACTCTTAAATTGCAGTAAGACAGATGAACAAAAAGAACTCCATCAGACTCAGGATGGAATTCCAAATTCTGCCAAACAAAACCAGTCATACTGATTCAGATCTGAAATCCCTGTTCTCCAGAAATATTTAAAATAAATGACAGTGGAAAGACAAGAACAGATCAAACATACATGTTTCTCTACTAGTCTCCTATTATTCATCAGCTCAGACAAAGCTTTGATGGCTTTCACACTAAAAACTTAGAAATGATCACAGAAGAATATCCATGATTTCCTCTTAACATAGGAAGACCCAAACCACATACAGTATTCAGAATTTTGCATCTATGCTGCATCTATGAATCTACAGAATTCCTCCTTATTTATCTTAATAAATTTCTAATATTTGTTTTCAAAGTTTTTGATCATTACTCGGTACTGAACTTATATACACATGAAAAATACCTGGGCCAAATTGAGCCAAAACAGTGACCATTGAGCACAAATTCCAAACACTGCTCATTTAGTCTCTTTACATAAACCACGTCATGATTGTTTTGAGCAAGTGCACCATTTTAGGTGTATCACGACTTGTCATTGTCATTTTATTATACAGTCTCATAGTATCACAAAGGTCTTCTAAAGTACTTCAGCTGAATAATCTGATTTCCTAAGCAAGGCCTTTTTTATTTCATTGGTTATTCTCTTTTCAGAGCATTAAGGAACATTCTGGTTTGCACAATTTCACTACTGACTTCCATCTGTAGAAAAAATTTGTTACTTTACTGTCTTCCACACTTTAGCTTCTCCATTTCCTTGAAGCCTTTTTAAAGGACCCAGGAAAAGTCTTCAAGAACTGCCGGAAGCTACCATCAATTGGATTACCTCTATCTACATGGCAGCTGACTATTCCAAACTTTGCAACTTGTTTTAGCGTACCATTTCTATTTAAAAGCATTAAATAAAGTTGTCTGTTCCTAACTAGGTTATATTTCACTTCTGTAATGCTTTACCAAAAGAGAAAACACAGCAATGACAGCAAAGTAGCAAAGTCCCAGGCTGCTAAGTAAGCGAGGATGTACTCAAACAGCCAGGGACACAGAAACAAAGAAAAAAAGCTGCTTACCCTTAAAAGGCCTTAGATAGGCAATCATCTCCATGTAAGATATGCGTATATCTGCTACCAACTCTCAAATAAGGTCTGGGAAGAGATGGATCCTGGCATGCTGGCTCCACCCCTTCCAGTCACTCAGCTGCACTTCATGCATCTGAGCTCCCCCGGGGATGGGTCTGCCTTCCCACCAGGTGCTCAATCAGGCCATGACTCAGAGTTTCTGCTACACTTCTGTACTCACCATTTCACTAATTTCACTCTTAATGACCAGTCCCACTATCTCACCTGATAGAATAGGACAACAATCTTGTGACTTGCAGTTCTCCATATTTTCTTAAAAGCTTTTCTAGCATCATACTAAAGTCTTAAATCTGACTTGGCACTGAAGACACAGAAGATTTCTGATGTTCATTTTCTTAGGCTTTTCCAATACAGTTGATGAATTTTAATTTCAAAATGATTTTTTAATGATTCCCACTGAAGAAGGGATCCAGGCTAAATGTTTCTCGTAAGTGAAAAAGGAACAAAAAATGTACAGATTTAAAGTCTAATTTCAGTTCAATCCAATTTCAGTTGGCCTATTGCCTCCATTACTCCTTTCTTTATCTTTATCCATCAACCTTATGAACTTGCTTACTGACATCCCAGCCTTGAAATGGTTAGGAAACTGTTGCTAGATCAGACACATTTTGTCAATTGTTCTTCAAACACTTTTTGACCTTCCTTATGTTTTTGTATGGTTAGCCTGCCAGAATTTCAGAAGTTATCGCCTTTTATATTCTTCATTAAAAACAATATTTATCCATGACAACTTCCTACAACTTTTTTTTTGTAGACCTCTGTGTGAGTACAATCTTGTCGTGGTTTTATGATTTTTGGTTATTGTTATTTCACATCATAACATCATGCAGTGCACTGGGAGTTTAACTGTTAATGTTCAAGCTCTGAGTACCTGTCAGGAAGAGAAGAACTACGTTCCCCAGGGGGCTTTGTGGTCACAGAGAGGAGATAAAACTTCTGGCAAGGTCACCTGATGCACTCTTCTTTGTCTGCTCTTCTTCTGCTGCTCTTCTTCATCTCCCTGCTGTTCAACTGGACCACGCATCTCACCTCAGTGTTATTGTGAGGCCTATCCACCTTTCAGACATTCTCTGTCTCATTATATTTGATTTATTAGCTTCAATTCTAATTATACTGGATTACAGTGTGCTATCTTGCATTTCGATACTGTATTTAGTAAATTAGTTTGTTTCTCCTCAGATCGTTGCCGCTGTTTTTTATTATTTTGAGGTCCCGTTTCCCTTTTCTGGAGGTGCGGATTTTGCGAAATCCCTCCGCCCCGCAAGTCACAGGACTGGGCTGAACCAGCCAGTAAACTATTGACAAATCTCTAACATTGCTGTTTAGACATATAATACTCAGGAAGGAAGGTGCCCAACTTTCTAGTGCTGCAATTAGAACACTGAGAAGAACAGTCTTTTTGACTGTTCCAATCCAGGTCTGGTTCCACAGTTTATGGAAGGGATCTAGAATGCAAATGTAAATTAATTTGAAACAGGGCCAAGTGAACCACAACTCACTAGATTACGTTCTCCTCCTTTTCTTAAGTTATTCCAAGAATTGTATTAGAACGGGAAGTGTTAAATGCCTGAATTCTTTTAGGTGCAAATTTTTATCTTTACAGCCTATGATACTTGATACTCATTAAATCTGAAGTGACAGAAGATTAAATTAACATCAAGGTGCATCACTGCCAGTATGCTTTATAAACAATAAAACACCAAGCACATGTAAGCTAATATGTAGACTGGGCTTTGATCATATTGAGAAGAAAGGTATATGTAACTTGACAGTTAAGATGGCAATGTGAAGTATTCTCTCATTAACTATTTTGCTTTGAAAATACATGACAGGTGTGTGTGTTTGATTTTCTTTAATTTCACACTCAACTGCCATGCACAGATTATTCAAGAAATAGCCCATATATATTATGTGTACTAATTACTAAACTATACATATTTTTAATATTAGAAAATAAAAATTATATAAAATAGAAAGTTAATGTTATGAAAACTTCAGCTCTGAAGGAACAATTGTTACCTTTTCAGAAGTCCTGGCTGATTTTGCACTTTCAGATATCATACACACATATTTCTAGACATTCTGGGTTTCAGTAAGAATCAAGAAATAAGATTAAAGGGTTTATTTATTCATCTATTTTATTCATTATTCTTAAAAGACACATTCTAACATATTTCTAAGAAATTCTAACATATTCCCAAGATAGAACAGGAAAAGAGAAAAATGTGATAAATTCCAGTTTTTTCAAATCCTCATTAAGTACGAAGGAAAACATGGGACTCCGTTTTCCCAAAAGAAGATTTTTAGTGAGATTATTAACCTAGGAGGGCTGCAAAATGGTCACACGTACAGCAGCCACCAAAATGTAAGTAAAGCAAAGTAAAACTCAGATAATATGGAAGGCATTAATTCACACATGGTACATTTAAGATAATGTAGATATTACAAGCGTGAGAAACTGGAAACTGAAAACCTGCAATAAAGAGAAAAAAGGTTGGGGAAAACAATGCTTGAATACATTACTGTGAGAAGCTTCCACTTACCTTGAAGGTTAAGTAGCTGCATATATTTATTTAAGTACATTAGCAAGTAGTATTCTAAATATCTTAAGAATACTAGCAAGCAAATTTAGATTCTGAAACTATGCAGATAAATAAAAGAAATTCAAAAGCATGTTCGACCAAAGGACAGAGCTCCAAACATTTTTCCAAGTAAACAGGCTGCCTCAGATGAACTCAGTGTAACTGTTTTCTCTTGCCGGAGGAAAGCCCGTGGCCAAAATTCTAATTTGCCTATTTCTTGCAGATGTATTTTCTGTTTGCCTAATTTGCCTATTTCTGCAAGATGTATTTTACATCTTGCAGATGTATGTTCTGAAGTAAATTCAGCATCACCAGGAGGTGACATAATGACAATTTCTTATACTGAAGTGCTCAATTTATTCACAATACAGACACAAGTCTAACTATATTCTGTGGTTGCTGAACTCAAGCTGTTTTACTCCTGAACAAAAAGTTGGCAATATTTAGTATGCTGTACTGTCAATAACTTCTTGAGCTGAATCATAATGAACTTACTACCATAGATTTTACAAGAAGCAAAAGGAAGTTAAAGGATTAATATCTAAGTCATTCACATATCCTTATTTATGTAAGCTAGTGAGGCTCATCATAAGGACTACTGACCACAAACAAGTATAAATTCTGAGATTTTGACAAGACTTTGTTAAGGCTCATTACTTTAAACAATTCCTGATGCTCCTGTATTTAAGTGAAGTTAACAGTATAATAGTTTTCCACTTGATTTTGAGATACTCAGTGTGAAAAAAAAAAAAATCCAATGAGGTTCAACTGAAAAAATTACCGTAACTGAGAATTTGCAATAAGTCAATATTACACAACTTTGCTCTTTTTTCAGTCTTCAAATGTCTTCCAACATTATGGCTCTTCAGGAGTCTTAAATAAAAACTATGAAAGAGAAGCAACATCCGAATTAATAATTCAGCATTTTAGGGTGGTCAGAATTACAGTACAGCATAATTGCTGTCAGGTTATCTATTTCCTTTGTACATTTGATGTTACAAAAAAAAAAAAAAAAAAGAAGAATGAAAAAAAGGCAGATGATTACTACAAGAAAAAAACCAAGGCACACACCTTAAAAGTAACTTAAGAATTACGTACCATAATAGATATTCCCACTTTAAAGTATTATGTGGGAAAATAAAAGAAATACTACCACTTTTTATCCTCCATGTCTTCTTAATATAAATTAAGATAAAGTAAATGTAAATGAGCCCAATCCCTAATGAAATTCTTATTTCCTTTCTCTTTCCATCTCATAGTTTCTCTTCTTTGAATTAAATTTAAAACTCAGTTTCAATTGGATTTTGGCCAAAATTACAAAATATTAAAAATTCATTTAGAAAAATAGATGTCTTGGAGCCTAGACTAACCTCTGCGATAACCAAATTCACTTTTTTTTTTTTTTTTAAGGAATAATTGAGTAGTCTGCAGTAATTAAGGAAAAATGCTAACAGTCAGTTATCTCCTCAACTTAGGAGAGAAACATCAACATTTCAATATTCAGATAGCAAATTAAGAAATTACGAGAAACTGAAAATACTTTGTCCAAAATGTGCAGGGTGATCCTCTGCTCAAATATTTAGAATATTCAGAGACACACTGCTATCCCCATGAGAAGCACTGTACTGGAAGAAAACTACTGTTCGTGTAAGAAAAATTATTCTGATTTTCTCATTATTACTCCTATTCTGAAATGAAACCACGTTTAACTCTAAGTGGAAATCTTCAGTTTTTTTCCCTCCAAACTTTTCTGTCTCATTTGCTGTGATACTAACTACATTCTGAACATTACAGAAACTGACTGTAATATATACAGTGACTGAAATTGATACTTAACTCTAGTGGGTTTCTTTGCTATTTGAAATATATGACATTGCAAAAATACAAATAATTATATAACTATGGATTGACAGCCTTGCATCTACCCACCTTGGAAGAATAAAAGAACGTTTAGAATAAACTGTGCCAAGAAAGGTTAACATTTCTCTTTTCCTCCAATATAGAAAACGGTACTCAAAAGTTGTAGGTTACGATCTTTCAGTGTAGAGCAACTAATTCCAGCCAACAAAAAGGTTGAAATATTTTTATTTTGGTATATTCTTGACCTATTCAGGTATGCAGAAAAAACTACAGTCCAACATCTTTTCAGCAATCTTATTTGTCCTCTCATATCAATGGAGGATCCCTGTCAATTGTTTAGTAACACATGCCCTGGAATGCTAAGGAAAAGCTATAGAGATGTATTTAAAGCACTTCTGAGGCAGTGCCGAGACAATGCACCCTAGAGAGAATTTGGTCTATTTCCATATTGTGTACTTACTAATAGGGAAAAATGTATTTTATTTTAAGAAGAAAATAAAGAATAGCTATGCTCAACAAATTGCTGGCCAGGCCAAGTTAAGCCACAGGGCAACATACTGTTAATCAGGCATAATCATCTCAAGAG